ATTAATAATATTTGCATTGTCTGTAAAATTATAGATTTAGTCTGAAAGGATGTTAGAACTAAGTCTAAGAGAGAGTTGCTCTATATATTATTAAAGACGAGACGTTATACTATATATTGCCGTAGTAAAATATTCAATATTTATTGCTTTATTAAATTTTAAAAACTGTGATCAGAACTTTTGGTATATCCTAAGTAATATACATAATATTATACAATTACAATCGATAAATAAATTAGATATTGGATAGTAAAAACTCTATGATGATCTACTTATCAGTATACTTTTTTTTATTTGTTGTCAAGGCGAAATGAAATATGAAGATGATGAGATAATAAATGTTAATTTGTTTTTTTTTTCTCAAGGGTCATAGACAACCTATGCCGATAGTGATCAATATCTCTTTCTTTTTTTCTTTCTTTTCTTTCTAAATCTTATCAAATAGCCTGCATATTATAATAAAAATAACTTTCCTTTTAGACTTACGTATGAAAGGCTTTTGTTTGTTATTGTTTTTTTTTTCGCAGTAACCTTGAATAATTATTTTTGTCTTATTATGATTAATCGAATTTAAATTAAATATAATTTACTTATTTACCTATTATTAATAATAAAATATTTATATTTAAGGACGAAGTAAATAGTTTTCAACGCAATCATGCATCATCATGGCTTCATAAAGTGGCAGCATCAATGCATTTTAATATTGATACATATGCACTTAGCGTTGATTTACTTGATTGATTTTTGACTACACTTAAAGTATGTTTAATGTAAATAAGAAAAAAAAGAAATTTTGTCTTTTTTCTTTTTTTTTCGAATTATTTTTTCATATAGGTTCATCCTAAATTCCTTGAATGTTTGGCTGTCGGTTGTTTATATATAGCAGCAAAATGTAAAGAAGAAGATGATACAATTCTTATAAAACCTGAATTTGTTATTGATTGTAATACAAGTTGTTCAGCAAATGAACTTCTTCGTATGGAACGTTTCATATTGGAAAAATTTGGATGGTTTGTTGATTTTGTTACATCAGTAGATGAAAAAAGAAAAAAAAAATTCTTTTTTTTTTTGTTTACTTTTAACAAGAGTATTTATTTTGTTTTTTAGTACTTTGCACTTTTACTGCATAAATTTGGTAGTAGACAACATGAAGGAAATGAAAATGAAAGAGCTTTAGTTGAAAAATATGTTGATTTAGAATTAAAATTAGCATTATATTTACAACATCATCGTTTAGCTTCATTTAAACCACGAATTCTTGCATTGGCTATATAAGTTTAGAATTAGAAAAACAGCAAGCACAAAGAACCTGAAATGAATATTGATTGGCTTGCTTCTATTACATATTTACAACAATTAGTTAAAGTAAAATAAATGAAAATATTTATTAAAAAGAAAGAAAAAAAAGAATTTGTTTTTTTTAAGGTTGAAAGTGATGCATTATTGTCATGTCGAGATTTAATCGTTCGTCTTTCACCATCATACAATATTGTTCGATTGAAATTGGCTAATCTTGCTTTTATATCTCATGTTTATAACCACTCAAGTTCATTGAAATCATTGATTAGTTTACCTGGCCGACCAACCTATGCCGATGTTGTTTGCAGAGCCCGCGAAAGTGGGAGGGTGTGGGGGTGTACACCCCTCCAATAATTGAAAATTTTTCGTTTTTTTTTGCTCGACAAAAGTATATGTTTTAGAAATTTTACTCATTTTTTGTGAAATTTTGTTGAAAATGTTCCTTTACACCCCCCAAAATTTGTTAGATTCCTGAGAAATTGTTTATTCGCTCTCCCTGAGCTGCTACGCCGACCGCGCGCCGCGTACCTTCGTCTGTT